GGCTGAGCGAGGTGCGGGCGCAACACCGAGGGTTGTGATCCCGTTGCTGGTCCCGGTCCGGTACGGGCGCGACACTGAGGGTTGCGATCCATTGCCGGACACCAAAAAGGAAAAAAAAATAAAAATAAAAAAAATAAAATAAAATAAAATAATTCAAGTTTACCCACCCACTGCCTCTTCTCTGTTAATGCAGTATAATCCATAGCAAATTTTAAATTCTAGCATAGTTGCACTCTGCTTCTCATAACTATTATGACAGCCTTCTGCTATTATTGCTTGGGGGTGTACTCAGAAATTCAAATACATTTTGTTATTTTTACAAGCAAAACATAATTTCAGACAAATCTACAGCCCCAAATATCACAAATGTTAAAGCTAAATAAAAATAATTTGAAAATTTCCCATATTTCTGCTCCCTTCTATTTGTACAGATAATTGAGAACTAACTCTGTACATGAAATCGACCCACAGCCGTTTTTCTAAAGCTGGTAATAATAGCCAGTAATAATAATAGGAAGGATTGTAGATTGTGTTACACTTTCTGTTTACTATAGAAAGATAGTTTACATGAAATAAAGCGGGTGAGTGGGTGAGTGCTGGGTATTTGTTTTGTGCAGTGATTCTTCATGTCTGAAGGTATAGCTGTGCATGTGTTATCTGTGTTTACTTCCCTTGGAAATTAGACTTGTTTTTAAAGCTTTCATCAGATGTTATATGCTTCATTATTCCTTGAGTGAATGTATATGCACAGCTATGGTTTTCAAGGCTGGTATTGAAACAAAAAGTGTGAAAGTGAACAAACAATAAAAGCATTTATATAACAGACTTCTTTTTACCGAGAAGATAACAGTCTTCTCTACTTAAATATGCTTTCATCTCTATCAAAATACTCTCTGAAAACACATTTTTAACATTTATTCCTAAGGATCCCTTCTTTTGTGTTCCTAAGCATTTTTGATGGCATTTAAACAACTAGTATTTACAACAACAATACTCTCACATCAACAATAGTGGTAGTCTACTCTTTCTGATACATGTACCATTCTCTTTTCAAAGAGGCCAGAATTTGTTACAAGTTTCAGAGCAAAAATCTCTTCTATCTAGACAGGAGTACAGCTCTACAGCATTGAGTTCTACAGTGTACTTTACATATGTTAGGATTCTTAATTCCTTTTTTACTATCATATTTGGAGACTGAAACAGCTAAATGAGGAGATGACATTTTCTTGTCATGGGGACAGAAAAGTTTGAAAAGATGAAGGGGATTTAACCTTTTAAGTCTATGGCTTCTAAACTTTGAAGCTCTGAAAATTCCGTAAAGCACTTTTGAGAAATATCTTTTCAGTGAACTATGTACTGTATTAGAATCTCTTTTTTTTTCTTTGCAGACCCTTCATGTGGCCTTTTAAAGTGTGTGCTTGAGACAGAATTATATGCAGAAGCTGAAAATGTCTGGAAGATTTCTGGTTTCTCTCACTACTTTTCCAGCCTTTTTGCCTGTCTGCCTGATTTGGATGATATGATATTTGGAGGGGCACCTTAACTGAAGCCATTCCTCAAAGAGACCTATCTGGCAGAAGGTTGTATACGTAATTCAGGATGGCTAGCCAGCCACCCGAAGACACTGCAGAGTCCCCGGTCTCCGATGAGCTGGAGTGCAAGATCTGTTATAATCGATACAATCTGAAACAGAGGAAACCCAAAGTGCTGGAGTGTTGTCATAGGGTTTGTGCCAAATGCCTGTACAAGATCATAGACTTTGGAGACTCCCCACAAGGTGTCATTGTCTGTCCCTTCTGCAGATTTGAGACATGCCTGCCAGATGATGAGGTTAGTACCCTGCCCGATGACAACAACATCCTCATAAACTTGACTTGTGGAGGCAAAGGAAAGAAAGCCCTGCCAGAGAACCCCACCGAGCTGCTACTGACCCCCAAGAGGCTGGCCTCTCTTGTCAGTCCTTCTCACACGTCTTCCAACTGCCTGGTTATAACCATCATGGAGGTGCAGAGAGAGAGCTCCCCATCGCTGAGCTCCACTCCGGTGGTGGAATTTTATAGGCCTGCCAGTTTCGACTCTGTGACCACTGTGTCACACAACTGGACTGTGTGGAACTGTACGTCCCTGCTGTTTCAGACTTCCATCCAGGTGTTAGTGTGGTTGCTATGTTTGCTGTACTTCAGCTCCTTACCCTTAGGGATTTACTTACTGGTATCTAAGAAAGTCACCCTCGGGGTCGTCTTTGTCAGCCTGGTCCCTTCGAGCCTTGTTATTCTTATGGTGTATGGGTTTTGCCAATGCGTTTGTCATGAATTTCTAGACTGTATGGCACCTCCTTCTTAACCGATATGCAAAATAAGAAATTTGACACACACTGTTATGTGTGAAGTTAGGTAATTTATAATTTATTTTCAATAACGTTCTTTACGGTTAGAGTCCATGACGTTAACAAAGCCGTTGGCCATATGTTTGTGGTCTGTTTTCTATCAGAATGTTGACTTGATTGGTTTCCTGTATGCTGGAAGTAAATGTTCGTTTCTACTTAGGGGTGAGCAAAAAAGCAAAACTGTGTGAGGTCAGCCTTCATGGAGCTCTGATGGCAGTGAGTCTTCCCCAGGAAAGGGCAGGATTTCACTCAGCACCTCTAGGGAGACACCAGGGTGTGGTGTGTTAGGCTGTAGTTGAGGTCTTTGTAGGAAGTTAGGAATGGACTAATTGCTCTTTTCAGAATTGTGGATATTCTACAATGGCAGGTTAACATGAGAGGAAAGCTGCTTGAAAACACATCTGTTTGCAAAGTGTGCACCCCTGCCAAACCCCTTCCCCCATCTAATATTCCTGGTGTAGAGCTCCCTGGATCACCTTCAGGTGTTTTCTCTCTCTTTTTAATTCTTTTTTGTGGCTGGCTGGTATGGGGATCTGAACCCATGACGTTGGTGTTATAACACTGTGCTCTAACCAGCTGCGCTAACCAGCCAGCCCTCTCTGTTAAGTTAACGTGGCTCTTGTGGTGAGATGGCTGTTCCCTCCCCAAGAGGAAACCACGTTCCCTGAGGTGGTTTCAACTGAATACCTGTTTTGCCACATTACTAAAGAGAATAAAAAACATTGAGGAACTTGCATCAAAGTACACTTCATGGCTAGAATATGGCCATGTGTCTTTGAGACATACTTTCCTCCATTTTATTTTCCTCTCTCCTCAGGCTTCTGTGAGAAGAACTGAGGAGAATAAACTTCTTTTTTTTTTTTTTGTCTTTTTTGTGACCGGTAAGGGGATCGCAACCCTTGGCTTGGTGTCGCCCGCACTGCGCTCAGCCAGTGAGCGCACCGGCCATCCCTATATAGGATCCCAACCTGCGGCGGGAGCGCCGCTGTGCACCCAAGCGCCGCACTCTCCCAAGTGCGCCACGGGGTGGGCCCGAGAATAAACTTCTCATAAAGCAGTTATTGTTCATGGAAACCTTCCTTCAAGTCTTCCCTTAAAACGTTTTATTTATTTTTATTTTTTTTAACCACATTGCTCAGTCAGCCCCACCCCTTTATCCTGAATGAGATTCCACTTAAACTAGTTGCTGTAAGTTTATGGGGATTTTCTTTTCTTCTCATTGTATTTTAAATTCTGTTAGGATTTATTTAACTTAATCCTATAACAATTTGGGGATGAACCGTGGCAGTAAAAACCTAGAAACAACTAATGAAATGCTCTGAGTCACAGTTTGAAGTGCTGAGAACCTAAGTCTTTTACTGTACTGCACAGAGTTGTACCAGCATATAATGGTTTTGGTTTATGTGCAAGACTGTGTTGCAGTAGTCCAGGCAGAGCGACGGGCCGGACACACGCGGAGCAGACGCCCTGCTTGAAAAACCCGCTGACGGAGTAAAATGGAGGGGCAGAGTGCGACTTACCATGTTGTTGTCCCTGTGTTTAAGTCAGTTTTGGATTCGATTCAAGTTCTTGCACACTTTATTTAAAATAGAAGTATAAGCTATGTGACTTGAGTTAGTGAACTTTTCATGATGGAGGGGAAGTGGAATGTATATATTTATAAGAAGAAATTGTTTAGCATATTTAGGTTTGGGGAAATAGAATGTTCACAGCAACTAGGCCAAAAAAAAAAAAAATGCTTTTTAGTCCCTAAAACCCATTAGTGATGATTGACATTAAAATATTTGTAACTCTTACTAAGACTTCTTTAACGTGTTCGTGATGAAATCCTTGTTGAGCAATGTAGTTACTGTGGGCCAATTCCAGTCTCCTTATTAAGGAAAAATTGACGCTTATCTTGAAAAGCAGTTTGATTTTAACTGTACAACTGTTAACTTTGAGAATATGTGCGCCCAAGGTAAATATGATGAGAAAGTCCATGTGGGATGTTGTCCAATGACTAAGCCCCCAAAATACAGCTAAATACATTAATGGTTTCATAACATTTAGTTTAGATAGCATTATGAATGAGATTTCCAGAAATCCATTTGTACTTAGAGTAAATATGATGTTTAGGAGATGTTGTGTGGTTTGGATTTATATATTTATAAGGTTTTTAAAAAATGTTTGTTTTATCTGAGCTGTAACATTTAATAAATTGGTGAATTATCATATGGTGAGATTTCTAGAAAGCTCCGGAAATGGGTCCTATGTATTTTGCTTATTTGTATAATGTCAGCAGTGCTAAATTTGAGTCTCTGTGTATTGTGGTGGTCTTTAGTTTTTTAGTTGCCAGTAAGTTTATTTGGTTTTAAAGAGTTTAATGTGTGACAACAAAAAGCTCTACATGCTAAGTGGAAAAAGGACAATGCTTTAATATTTTATTCACTGTGATAATGTTTTGTTTGTCTATTAAATTGTTATTACTTCCAAACTAGAATTTTGGTTTCTCTGACTCGTGGTTGAGATTCAGTTATTACTTTGGACCTCTGTTAACTTTAGATAACTGCAGACATGAACTTTCAGAAACATTGATTAAGCTAATGCCTTTATCATGCATATGAAGATTTCAGAACTTTCTAAGAAAGCTGACCTAAGCCATTGCACTTCTACAAGGCCTTCATACTTTTTCTTAAAAACAGAGGAGAACAATTAGGGAAGATGAAATAAAAATATTGTCTTTATAAATAAAATTTATAAATAAAATATAAAAATTTCTGTTTTGTTTGATTTGATTTCCAGATTTTGCCTAGCTGCTCAACAAAATAGAATTTAATTTAGTTGAGGAATCACTTACCTTATATGGTCTGGGCAAATTTTTAAAAATTACCCGTTTTCTAAATATCACCATTGTTAGGCAAAGCAGAAATAATTTGGGAATATGTAACAGTTCTATGCTTATGATAATAAGTGAATTGGCACCATATGTCAGTCAAGAGTAATGGTTTATTCACTTCTGAAATCTTTACATTGATGAGCAAAGAATTAGGTTAAAGAGGCAGTCCCCTGTGCTAGTTGTGACTTATGGTGTGAATGCATGCTCATCTGCTGAGAGACCTGAAAGTGATGAGCATTTTCCCTGTTAACTGGGCTTCAGAGACGCCCTGAAGAAATTTCAGTACACCGACCAGGTAGCCCCAAAGCCAAAGGAATCTTGGTATTCATAGGCAAACTGATGTAGCAGTTACAATATGAGCTCTGTGAGCACTGAGGTGCAGATGAGGTGGAAACGAGGAACTTGAGAGTATAACGGAGGCAAAATGTGATTCTAGGTGTTTCTGCATTTTTTGAGACTTGCTCTTTTTTGCATCTCTCCTTGGTAAAAAAGAAATACTTGCCCAATTCTTTTGAAGCATCACATACTATTCCAGAGCTATACTCAGAACTGGTGAGGGTCTCGGTTAAAGGTGAGACCCCTGAATGAGTTTAATCCTTTGCTCTTGAAACTTGAGTTTTGTGTGAGCTCCCCGTCTTTGGCACCTTGTTACATGTTTACTTCTCTTCACTTCAGTACCCTTCATGTATGTTTAGTCCTCTCATAGAAGCTGCAGGCTTAGTATTGGGTATTCCCTTACAAGTTTATTTTTGTGTAAAAGATATATAAAAAAAGAATGCAGATAACTAAATGTTGACGTTTGAGTAAATTTCAAGTGAGTCCTGAAGGCAGTATACAGATCCAGACCAATTCCTTATATCATTTAAATCTGTGGTGTAATCCAAATCTTAAGTATACTCAGCGTACAGATATTTATGGTTCTGACATGAAGGTGCTTTAAGTTTAGGAGTAAAAACATCAAAACTTAAATTATGTCCCGAATACTGTGTATACTAAGTAGGGATATGTGCTAATGAATTTTTTTAAGTGGTTGAACCTTGATTTAATTAAAACATTGAATTAACTGAGACAATTACAAGTATTTTAATCAATCAGGAGTTTATTAGATTTGCAACATATTAATGCTTTACATTGAGATGGTTGGAATCTCATAAGAGAAAAGAATTCTCTCTGATAGTAGGTCATTTTAGATCTTGGTTCCTCATGAAGTGTAAAGAAAGTTTTTTTGTATGTTCCCATCTGTTTATCTCACAGGAGATGTCAGGCCTGCTCATAGCATTAGGAGTCTTTGGCATTTCAGTAGCAACCAAAGGAGATGGAGTAGAGAAATGTTGAGCCCTAGAGAGTAGAGACCCAGAGGCTGAGCTCTTGGGCTGTATCTGAGTGCTCAGCGAAGGAGCAGCCTCAGGGAAAGGAGTGGAAGCTGGAGACGGTGGCCACGGGAGCCACGAGAAGGAAGGTGGAATTAGATTATTAGGTGAACACAAATGGAAGCATATTTCAGACTGGTTTATAAAAAAGATTTCTTCAAGCTTTTTTCACGATTTTCAAATATACAGAAAAGTTGAGAGAATAGTATAACTATCGCTGGTACACTTACCACTTAGTTAACAGTTAACCTTTTGCTATATATATATATTTCTCTTTTCCCTAAAAATAAGGGAATTTCTCCAGTTTGATTAAAATATTATGTTATTTAAGACAACTAAAAATACTTTCCTAATATCATTTAACATGCAGCTTTCTCAAATTTTTCTACTTGTTCCTCAAATATCTTTTGTAACTTAAAAAACAACAACAATAAAAAACCAGGATCTAGTCAAGCTTCACACATTACATTTGGATGTTATGTATCTTTATTCTCTTTTATTCTGAAACAGTCAACCACCTTGTTTTCCCCACGACACTGACTTCTTGGAGAAAGCAGGCCAGTTTCCTTGTACAATGTCTCACATTCTGAATCTTTCTGGCTGTTTCATCTGGTGTATAACGTCTAACACCTGAATTTTTTGTAAACGAAAGTTAGGTGTAGAAACTTGATTGGATTCAGATTTTGGGCAAGAAGTTGCCTCAGTCACCTTTGCATGGTGTGGCATCTGGAGGCATAAAATGAAAGGCAGCCTTAACATTCGAAATCCTGTCTGAGCCCTCGGGTGAGGTTGTCCTTCCTTTTCCCTGTGCATTTAGCAGATAATCTGTTGGATGATACTTGGGCTCCATGCAAATATTATTTTCCCTAACAATATTTGCCCTAACAATTTTTTTTCCTTTTTATCTTTTTTCGTGACCAGCCACAGATCGCAACCCTCAGTGTCGCGCCCGTACCTCGCTCAGGCAGTGAGCGGCCGGTCTGTATGTGGGATCCGAACCCTCTGCGGGAGCGCTGCCGCGCTTCCCAAGCAGTGCACTGTAGCAGTGCGCCACCGGGCTGGCCCTGCCCTAACAATTTTAAACAATTTTTACTTCAGCATCCAACAGTGATCCTTGTCTGAATCAATTACTTCATTTTCCAAAGATTTGGAGTATATTATTCTCTGAGCACAAACTTCCCCCTTGCTGGAGGTTTTCACAAGAGGGTGGTCCAGTTCCCTCCCAGCAGGTATGTTATGG